AGTTGATTCTACTTCTGTCCATCCTGCTGTCTCCCAAAGAGAATCTAAGCATCTTCAGCTTGGACTCCTGTCTTTTTGTTAGTGCTTCATCTTCACTCTTTCTACTTTCTTTCTCTCACTTATCGCCACCACATTGTTCATTGCTTTGGATGGTTAACCCAGGTATTCAAAGTCATCTACTTTCTGTTTCTAATGCTTAGAGCTTCACTATTCACTTGCACCCAACTCTCACTAGATCATAATGTTGTATACAAACATCTTAATCCACCTTCCTCCACACTCCACACGCTCCCTCCTGTATATGGCAGTGGAAACCCACCCAACACCTCTCCTCACTTGTGTTCCCTTCACTTCCATTGTCTCCATCTTTGTAGCCATGTGTCAGTCTATGAAACCAGTTGGTCTTCACTTCTCCTGTCTCTTTCTCTCACTGCTGATATCACAAACTCCTGCGGTCTCCCAGCACTCACACAGACATTTATGCAAACTCAGAATATGCAGCTGTGCCCAAAAAGGTGACCAGAGCTACATTTCTCTGTAAAGAGAAGCAACATGTAACATAGTGATAAATAATATAGAATCAGTGTGTGGGGTATGGAGCCCCGCGAGGGACATGGGAGAAAAACAAATTATGGACTTTTGCGAGATCTCGCAAAGCAAACTCGTGATCTCGCAAAAGTTTTGTGAAAACGTCGTAGCACTTTTGCAAATATATGATGTTTGCACAGCTACATTCACGCCTCAAAATATCTTGAAAGTTTCTTTTGTGACCCAGAAAGAGTAATATTGCAACTAAGTAGCTGCCGCAATTGTGGGAATTCAACTTTTGCGAGATCTCGCAAAAGTTCATCGTAATGTTTTTCTCCCATGTCCCTTGCGGGCCTCCGTAGTAGGGAAAGATTTCAGAGAGCACACGGAGGCATAAACACATCAAAGTGATAACAGTGTGTTCAGTGTGGTTCACAATGACCCTTTACCTGAACATATTTAACTGCAGCTTTCCCCTCTAACGTCTCCTGCATCTTTGACTTTGTCACAGTGTCCCCGTTATTTTAAAAGTTTCAAATATCATCAAGGCAACGTACCAGAGAGTGGGCAATTGGATTGTGATACAAGATGCCCTTTACTACATTTAACAAATAAGTAACTTGTACAGTTAATGGACTGCTCCTCCATTTAAATGCTCTCAGCCAGCACACACACACACACACACTTATTATTACCTTCAGTTCTTGATTTGATGAAAGAACAATATGTTTGCAGTGTTGGGAATAACTGTGATTCTGATTACCGGCAGCTGATGCAGGGCAGTTTTTGAAAAGCAAATGAAGGACCTAATAAGTTAGGTTTTGAAATAAATGTTTGACAGGGAATTCTTGGATATGCTTAAATGAAAAGGCTGAATGCCATAAAAGTCAATTATTTGGCGTATTAAAACATCGGCATTTGTTCTACAAGCTCAAGTGTAAAAAGGAAGCAGAGAGATGAAAGCAAAGTAACTCACTGCACACAATCGTCTTTTTCCTGCGAGTAAGATAAGGGTGGGAAGAAAGAAATAAAGAGAAATGGTTTTCACCAGGAATATAAACTTCTGAAAATGTCATCTTTATTTTTTAAACAAATTCATAATTACTGAATTTCTCAGAGGAACGCACCTGAGAGATCATTAAAGATGTATCTAATCTACTTCTTTGTTATTGGGCATGGATCTGTTTATATTTGGGCCAAAGATAAGAAACTTTTGCATCTCTGGTTTGCTAACTTGTAAAATGCTATAGAGTACGAAGCAGTGGTCTTTTGGGCTAACAACATGTTTATTGCTGTTCAATATTTCAAAAGCTATTGGGATGAAACAGCTGTTATTGGAACATGTAGAATAAAGTGACCTGTACTAATCTCTGGGTGCTGTAGTCCTAATGTATCATGCTGTGTTCTTGACATCCCATTAGTCGGCCCATTTCGCAGGCTGAGGTTCCTGATCTCATTGATCGGGGAGGACTGGATCTTCTTCTTCCTGTTGGGGCTCCTCATGGGCCTAACCAGCTGGGCAATGGAACTGGGCATCAACATGCTCCTAAAAGGTGAGAGAGAGACTGGGTTGGTTTTGTTTGTTTGTTTGTAAGAATGCAGCATCACTACACACTAACATAATAACACATTTTGGGAAGGAAGGAGGTCAGTAATATCTAACAACTACAGGAAACTGATGGCGAGAGGAAAAGATGAGTTGATAGGATGGAGGTAGTGGTGAAGGGTGAGGTAACAGGAATGGAAAAGGGCTGAATTTATTTGAAGTCTTTCACATTCTAGTTCTACACATGTATGCAAATGTATACAAATCTATTCAGAAT